TCATGAACTAAAAATAGCTAAAAATACCATTTGATCTCTTTTCTACATTGAAGACAGCATAACTCTCTATCCAAAACCTATGTAATTTGTGTTATGTTATTTTTATATTTTATCCCCCTGTGTGCCTTCTTTTCAACAATGGTAACTTCCTTCTTTTTCTTTTCTTTTATTGGACAAGCATGTAACTCAGTGGAAAATAAGACAAGCAGTTTTAAAGCACTTAAATTCAATACATCCTCCTGCTCCTGATATAACCATGTGTTATTGGAACGGAGAGAGCCCGCAAGGTTATAATACATTAAATATAATACAGTGGAGACCAGTGACAACAAATAAAATCTTGAGTCATGATAAATGCCTGTGACATTAGCAGAATGGTTGGAATACCAGTCAAGATTATGATGATCAAGGAAAATGAGAGAATAGCTCAAATGTCCCAAAACACAAATCCCTGGCCTATTTTTAGGCTGGCTGATCATAACGTGGTAGCCCTGGAAGTTAGATGATCCAAGTTCAAATCCTAGCCTTGTCATTTAGTGGCTTTGTGAACCTGGGTAAGGTTCTCTGCACCAGTTTCCTCATCTGTTCAATGGGAATAATAATAATAGCTGAAAACATATAATGCAACTATATGGTGCCAGGCACCGTCCACGCTTCTTGTGATTGTTGAAACAGGTTACACGATCTACCCAGACACTTAATTCCTTATCATGTGTCTTTATGGCCACTGGAGGTCAAGACTAATGTATAGATTTTACATATTGCCTGACTTTTATTAGTTGAAGAATTTCAAATCTAGCTCTAGAGAAATGATTTCTATTCTTTGAAATTCAGGGGCTTTGAATGAAATGGAGGTGACAGGTTTTGAAGACTGTTTTTCTAATAAACATGGCCTCCTAGCTCCCTCTCTGTCTTCTTTATTTCCTGTAACACCTTATCCTTTCCCTTAATTACGTCCCCAGAAAACAGGACTGACTTTTATCAGCAGATGCTCATTGATCTCAAAAGGATAAATATATACATATATATGACAGGTGCAAAGACAATGGGCTAGAAAGCCTGCTTTTGGCTTCTTTGGGAATAAAAGGGTATTTGCTATTTTTCTTTTTTCTATTAAAGCCCTGGCTTGACCTATTTTTTTCCCCCCTCTATTCAAAGTTAAGCCTGAAAATAATACATTTTATTTTTTAGTTAAAACACAAGAATAGAAAAGAGTCTCATTTAGTAATGAAGGGAACATAACCTTTATTCAATGCAAAGGGCGCTGCATTCTATATTCATCTGTGTGCCAAATAGCCCTTTGAGCTTCAAAAACTAATTATAGGAGGGCATTGTGACTTTTCAGGCTTTGTGGCTCCTGCCATGTTCTATGGCACTCTAATATGCTAACTCGCAGCTTTCTGTCAACTCCACCACAGTAGAGTACCAGTCAAGAGTGGCCTCTCCCACTCTCCTCTGCTTTCAACTGCTAATCAGGATAGAGAATGTGACGGGTTAAGAGGGAGGAATCAATCACATATAAAACAAAACAGACCTAAACAATTATTTTTCTACTATTAAAGCAAATAAAAAGTTTTAAGACCACACCTACAGGCAAAAACATGGACAAATCCCTTAAGCATAACGTTTGGCAAAAGAAAACAGATACTACAATTACGTTTATGTGAAATTTCAAGATAAGCAAACTATAGTGACAAAAATCAGGATAGTGGTTACTTTGAGAGCAGGACTTTTGAGGGTGCTAGAAAAATTCTACATTTTGATCTGGGAAGGTATAATTACCCATACATAACATTTCATTTAGTTGTACACTTAAGCTTACACTTCATATATATTATGACTCAATACAAAAATTAAGAAATATCATTTGTTTTGCCTTCAAATTTAGGATGGAAAGTGATATAATTCAGTGAGCAAAACAAGAATAAAGAAATCCAGGACTTTAGCTCTTCTAAAGCAGAAGCGTGAGGTGCTACACGGAGCGTTATCTCTTTGGATCAGCATTCTCTTTTTTGGAATAGGGCTGGGAATATTTCCCCTCAACTCTAAGATACTTGAACATACCTAATACATAGAAAACTGATTTAAAATTTCTTTGCGATTGTAAAATATAATCAAAGAATTATCAATAAGCTGAGAAAAAACAAGATTAATATTCATTTAAAATAACCTGTAAAGTTGGGAAAAATAATTCGTCCTTTGGAAATTGCTTCTGAAGCAACTATTAAGGTTAATAGATGTGGTTAAAGAGCAAACTTAAAGAGAAGGAATAGAAATGTGTTCACCCAGACCTCTAGCAGTGGGAGAACGTGATGGGTAATACTCTGAAAGAGGAGAGCTTTGTGGCCTGACTTCTGTCCTCAGGTCAGTTTGATTCTTTCTATTAGGGGCTCTAATCAACCAATCTCTCCGTCACTCTCGATACTATAGCAATGAGGTTACCCCCTACACCAGTGCTTCTCAACCTTCCTAATGCCGCAACCCTTAGTATAGTTCCTCAACTATACTAAACCCCCAACCATAAAATTATTTTCGTTGCTACTTCATGAAGTCCAGCAGATACACTGGACTGTTCATTGATCTCAAAAGGATAATGACGTGTTTGCCATGAGTGGGAGAGATGACTTCATGTGTGTAGAAAAAGGTGGCCAACATGGAGAGAATATTTTGTAAATAAAGATAAAGTTAGCTACAATTTCCCATATCCCCCTGTATGGCGACTTCTGGGACACCTTATACGTGATACATGGCTGAATGCTTTCTGGGTAGCCCTCAAATATAACTGCAGCACTCCATTTACATGACATCCACAAATAGATTAAACTAATCTGTGGGGTAGAAGTCAGACAAGGGTAACTTTCAGAGAGGCAGGACAGCAACTAGAAGGAAGTCAAAGAAGTCCCCGTTGTTATATTCTAATTCTTTTTTCTTTTTTTTTTTTTGAGATGGAGCCTCAAGCTATCCCCCTGGGTAGAGTGCTGTGGCATCACAGCTCATAGCAACCTCCAACTCCTGGGCTCAAGCGAGTCTCCTGCCTCTGCCTCCCAAGTAGCTGGGACCACAGGCGCCCGCCACAACGCCTGGCCATTTTTTGGTTGCAGCCATCATTGTTGTTTGTCGGCTGGGCTGGGGATTTGAACCTGCCACCTTAGGTGTATGTGGCTGGCGCCTTAGCCGCTTGAGCCACAGGCACCGAGCCTATATTCTAATTCTTGTTGCTAATGCTCTGTTTCTCGATCGACGTATTGGTTATAAAAGTGCAAAGTGTAACTTGTCAAAACCCATAGTCGACAGAAAACAAAGAGTGATCCTTCATGTAAGCTATAGACTTTAGTTATTAATAATGTATCCATATTAGCTCATCAATTATAACAAATATAGTGCAGTAATACAAGATGTCAAAAATAGGGGGCTTTGGTGGGGGAGAGGTATAAGAGGATGTATGGGAATATTCTGTACTTTTTGCATAATTTTTTCTGCAATTCTAAAGCCGCTTTCCCCCAAATAAAATTTACCAATTAAACAAAATATATTTATAGTTTTCTTCTATCAGTGTAACTAGGTGCCAAGTTTCTGAGATAAATCATAAGGAAGAAAAATATCTACAGGCAGGCTTCAGGTTAAATCACAGGTGAACTTTGAGTACCACGACTTTAAAAAAGTTCATCATGACATGATAGAAAATTTTCATACTAAAATGTTGGTTAAAAACATAGCACGAAAGTGTGTGGCTATCACTGACTTTGTGAGTAATGATCTAACAAAGTTATTTACAATCCACGTTCTGACAGAGAGATGAGCCCACGGTTCTGTGATGAATTAAAAGTGAAATATCGGCCATTAATTCTTTTATTACTCTTCTGCTCTTTGTTTCTTTAAAATGTTTTTATTTCATTTCTCCTTATTTTACTTTTGCCACTTTGTCAGTCACTTGGGTAAGCAAAAGACAGTGGGAATAAACCTAATTTTAACCTGACAAAGTACTACCGCCATTGTTTTTCTGCTTTACACAACTCTAGAATGACGAGAGATAAAAGGTGTGCAGTGGGGAGCCAGCGATGTGGAATGAGTAGCTTCCCCAATGTCGGCCACCCTGCCACAGCTAAGTAAATAATGCAAATTGTACAAAAGTAAATGGTGAGTGATAAAGGTGAATGAGAGACTTTACTTTTGTCAAAACGAGTAGAAAATGATCACAGACAACACTGTGTGTGGGAACACACAGGGGAAGCACATTTACATTTTCCAGAAAGTCCAGCTAACAGTTATATGCATGGCAGGACACATTAAGAACAAGGATAACAAACTGTATGGCCATGAACCTGTCTTATTGCCATGTGTGGAGGATATGACCCTAACTAGGGTCCACAGCTTCAATGAATGAATGAATGAATGAATGAATGAATATTTTTCCCCTAAGAGGGGAGAATGACCTATATATTAAAATACACTTTAACCCAATTTAGCAATGCTCCAAATTTCGTTCCACAAATTCCTTCCTTCTAAAGTTTTGACCTCAGGGCATTCTTGCATAGGAAATGAGATAAGGCAGGATGAAAACAGATTTTACCAAATTCGAATTCCTGTAACTGCTGCTTCCTTTTTATTTATTTATTTTTTTGAGACAGAGTCTCACTCTGCGGCCCTGGGTAGAGTGCCGGCATCACAGCTCAGAGCAACCTCAAACTCTTGGGCTCAAGTGATCCTATTGCTTCAGCATTCTGAGTAGCTGGGAATACAGGTGCCCACCACAACACCCAGCTAGTTTTTTTTATTTTTAGTACAGACGGTCTTACTTTGCTCAGGCTGGTCTGGAACTCCTGAGCTTAAGCAATCCACCCACCTCGGCTTCCCAGAGTGCTGGGACTGCAGGTATGAGCCACTGTACCTGGACTGCTGCTGGACTTTTAGAATTACCCAAAATTTCACGTAAGAAAGGATTAGCTAAATAGATGTTTCTCCTCCCTGTGTTTGGTACAGCTTAGGAAATGACTGTTTACCTTATGAAATCTTCCTCTTCCTCTCTCTTTGGCCTCAGCTGTTTGGGTTGAGCCATGTTAATCCAGTTTGGCAGTGATTTCAAGAGTCTGCTGATGTCATCATCTTTGGCCCAAGAAGCACTGATGACAAGTTTTTCTTCTGACTGGACGATACCCCTAAACACGGTCAAAAGAAAAGAGATGCTTCAACATGAAGTCTGCGAGTAGGTTAGCATTTTCATCTACCTGGGCTGTGGAAGAAAAGAGACCATGCCTCTCTCTCCCATGGACACAATCCATTCTCTGAATGGAGGCAGTGACATCCGTTCATGGGTCATATCACTGGGACCTAGATTTCACTCTGAATTTCTTAATTGTTGAGTAATCATGAAAGCTGATAATAGTAATTAGTTCCATCTGTCATCATTAGGATAAGTTGTATAGGGTATGTTTTGGGGGGCATCTTTCAAGAAAATGTTGGGTAAATAAAAAGACCAAATAAAAAAGAATGCTGTTAAATGACAATATAAATGGTAGCTGAAAGGTGACAGAAGTGTTACAAAAGGTTGTTTTCTGCGTTCTTGGTTTAAACTACCAATTAGTTCTACCTGAAGGTATTTTTTGAACTATGGACATTTAAAACCTATCTAGCATCACAGAGAAATCCTCTGCCCTGGATGTCAGGCAGAAAAAGCCTTTGATTACTCCTATCTCCATGGGCTTTGACTAGTGACCTAGAGTTGACAGGTTTCAAACCCTTTAATAGGCCCATGGGTTAGCTATTAACATTGCTCCTACCAAAACATACCTGTAAATTCATCTTCAATGTTCAATTTCAACTCATTTAGAGAGCTCTTTTTGTGTTCAATATGTCTATCACTATAACTTATTTTAATGATCTAAAAATCCTCATCAGCAATACTAGTTGACAGAAACAACATTTATTTATGAAGAGACACTGATTAGCTGGCTACCCCTCTGAAGCTGACCAAGACTCCAGGGAGTTTTTCCCCCCAACACAGGCAGAAATCTCTTTTGGTGTAAGGGTCACACTTGGGACGTTATGTACTACCAGATGGACAATACACACTGCATGTGAACATCTGATAAAACCTCCTTGACTCAATAGATAATGTTTATAGACCAAAAAAGTTGATGACTGCAAACCCAGACTTATGACTGCCTGACTTAAAGTAACATAATTTCATGTTGTAGGGAACAGCACTGCTCTAGTTCTCGTAAAATAAACTGGAATAAACAAGAGAATTACGGATGATTTCTAGAATTCTTCTAACTCACTCTAAGCAAAAATTTTCTAATAGTAACTATGGTCAAAGATCCAAAAATTGGACTACAGAACTGTCTCTCCTTCAATCTTTCAATCCATTGGTGCCTTCCATTTCTTCTTTTTAATTTCCTGGCACCTGTTCTGCAATACTTATGGATTAATTCCACAATCTACCTTGTACGATCTCGTTCCTGCCTTGCTGGGTAAACGGCAGCACCTCAGATTCATGATATTCCATTGCAGGTGGACCACCCTCACTGTTCTCTGAAATTCCTTCTACCTGTCTTTGACTAGCTCCCTCTCCTCATTTCTCTCAATGGCTACTTTTTAAACCTTTCACTTTTTTGGTATTGCCTCATTGCTTATGCCCGACATCCCTTCCTATCTGACAGAGGAAGGAGAAGAACTGATTTATATACTTTCGAACAACGTACCTCACACGCACAAGAGAAATATGTTCAAATCTGTTTCACACTCAGTCATTTCTAGTAATCTTTCTACTTAGGCTTTTAGGGATCCTTTCTCCCCCTGGTAATCTCTTCTTTATCCTGTATTTTTAGTATTTCTCAATTCTGTTAATTTTCTTAAAAAAGGAATGAATGACTCTTTCTTGACCCAGCATTCTTCTCTAGTAAGCTCCTCTCTCTCCTTCAAAGGCTCCCATCAAATGACAGCCTGCACTAACTGACTGCACTTTCTCACCTCTCATTCAATTATTCCATTCATGAAATCTCTCTGCAAGGTCTACTCTATGATGCAGCCCATCTACTGCTTTTTGGAAAATGTCCAGTTACTATATTTTTCCTTTCTGGATTTCCTATTTGGCTCTTTTATAAATCCCCTGGCTTTTCTCCTTCAAAATGTCCCGTTCTTGTATCATCTCCTTGAACACTGTAGAAAACATGAGTCTAAGGTTCTTTTTATGCGGCATATTCTCGGTAGTTCTTTGGATGTCAAGTGTCCTGTCTGTCACGTTTGCCTTCTTTTTGAGTGACAGTGCATTTTCTCATGCAGTCTGCTATTTTGGTCTGGAAGCTCTAAGGCAATGGGACTTGTCCTCTGCAGAAATCTCACATTTGTCCTGAGTTTCTGAGATGTCACTATCGGGAGGTTTGCATTTGCTTCTTTTGGGTCCTGTGGTTTTTTGTTTTTTTTTTTCTTGAAGTTTCCTCTCCCTACACAAGTGGTACAAACTGAGGTGCCCCCTTGAATGTATTATGCTATAAATGTAGATGTAACATACATTTTTTTACATTTCTAAAAAAGCCAAATAGAAAAATCAAGAAATGAAAAACATAGTAAATGAACATTTTCTAAAAAGCAGTAGATGGGTAAAATCAAGTGTGGGATTCTGATTTCTCCTTGGGGCTACTTTTCTACTGGATGGCTCATTCTCAGGTCACAGTTTCCCTGGTTCCATTCATGGGTAGAATAGTCCCTTGCATGACTTCTGCAGAAAGTTCCCTCATTGCCTGGCAGATGTTAAAATGCTAGCCCCCTTTTGATTTGCTTGTCTCTATGGCTTTTAATTCCACCTTCACTCATGGCTTCTGAAGAATCCTCTTTCTTCCTTTTGAGTGTGGTTGAAAATTTAAAATATTTTATAACTTATAAATGTTTTTTCAGAGTTTCTATATGTTTAGAGCAAGAAAAGGCCTTCCTCAATCTGTTTATTACACACTTTTGAGAGGAAGTCAAAATCCAGTCTTAAACCAAATGCAATCAGGGTTTTGAAATCACCATTCCAATGGGATCGCTCCACCCGTCATGGGCATGTTTTATTCCTCACACTCCTTGACCATTCTAAAGCACCCAGTACTCTTGCCTTCTCTCTTCTGGGACTATTACTCCTTCACTTTTCTCAGCACTGTTTTCTCTGGGTTGTGCTCCTGCCACCCTCTTTCTCAGCCAAACTGATGGCTCTTTTCCTCTGTCCACACTTTAAATGTCGTGTTCCATAGGATTTATCATTTCTCACTCAAGCAATATCCTCCTCTTGCCAGACTTGATCCACCTCTACTGTTGTGACTCTCAAGTTATTATCTCCAAGCTTGCAGGAGCGGGGAGGTAGGCGGCATTTCTCTTCCACGGCTTGGACCTGCATATCCAAGGATTTACTAGAGAACTTCCTTGGAAGTTCACCAGCATTTCAAGTCAAAAGGAATTCACTTATCATTCCTCTGTCTCTCTCCCCCACTACACAACTAGTATTTTCTGCTCAGCCATCCAATTACTCAAATCAGAAACACGGTCACCCTGATAACTCACAGTCACCACATCCTGCCAATTCCACCTCCTTAATATCTTATAATTCTGTCATTTCCTGTCCAGGTTGCTGCTATTAATCTATATTAAACACACATCACTTTTCTCTTGGACTTGGCAATAACCTTGTAAATGAGCTTCTTCCCTGCAGCTACAAGACCATCAGTCCAACTCACCACACCAGTCAGAAGAGTCAGTTCTCTAAATTACAAATACAATCGTGTTATGCCCCCTTTTAGGACTCTTCAGTGACTCCTAATTCCATATAAGACCAAGATCAGACCAAGCCAGGCATGAACATTTATTTTTTTCAGCGTCATCTCCTGCAGTGACTTTCCTCCTTTGTCTCTGGTCACCATTCCTAGACACACGCCTGCCTGGGTGTCTTGCATGCCCTAGCCATAAAGAGTATTTTAAAGATTTTTAAATGGGTTATACTGTTTCCTGCTTTGGGGTTATCTTGGCCTAAAAAGCCTTTCCTCATCCTCCTCATTTGCTGCTTCTTGTCAATCGACTATTGCCCTGGCTCCTCCCCTGGAACAACTGGGTCTTCTCTCTTATTCCTCCTATCCTCATACCAGAGGTTTTCAACCTTGACTGCACAGTACTGTATACTTGGGAAGCTACTGAAAAACCCAAATGCCCAGGCCACAGCCAAGATCACATAAGACAGAATCTCTGTGGGGTAGAATCCAGGCAACTGAATTTTTTAAAGTTTCCTATGTGATTCACATGTACACACGAGGGTGACAACCTCCATCCTTGCTGCCTCTATTCTCACCTGTGCTATTACACGACCTTACAAGTTGGGACCCCATGCTGCATGATGAGTCCTCTGATCCTCTGAGGGTAGAATTGATTTCTATTAGCTTTTATGCCCCCAGTGCCTAGCACAATACCTGGTATTTGCAAAGTATGTAAGAACTGAACTAGAGATAAAAATAAGCCCTCTTCAGTTAGGAGTCTAGATAACTTACTGATCTAAAATCATTTTAGTGGTTTCCTTTTTATCTCTATACTAAATAACTTAGATGAGCTGGCAAGTCATTTGGCCTTTAACAAAATCACAGATCACGCTGTATCATGACCTTCACCGTACCTCTCTGAAGTCAACACAAATAAGAATAATGAATACAGGGGGGTAGTCCTCTGAACAAATCCAACATTAAAAAGTCCTGACTCATAAAATAAATGAACCAAATCAGTAAGAGATTATTGACAAGCCTTCCCCTTCTATTCCACTTATTCCTAGGTGATTTATTATTTGAATTCTCCTCAAAAATTCACTTTCTCTGTGAAGAATTTGTTGACTATGTCAGCGTACAATGATCTTGCCCTTTGGAAAGAAACAGAGGAAAACCCTGGCTTTACGCGAATCATCTGTAACTTTACAACTGGCACTTTGCCACATACTAACGGGAGGGCCCATTAGGGCCGCTGGGCCAGATTCACCCATTAGCTGTCTTTGTATGTCCTGTAAGCTAACAATGCTTTTGACATTTTTAAATGATTTTTAAAAAATTAAAAGAAAAATTTTGTGATGTGGAAATTATATAAAATTTTCATTTGTGTCCATATTTGGAAAAAAAATTTGCTGGGCAATTCAATTCTTTTTAGATCCACA